CACCCCCACCCCGCCCCGCCCCCGCCCGGAGCTGGCTGAGGAGCCTGTGCTCAGCTGCAGCTTGGCGCGGCAGCTGCGTGACTCCGTGTAACCCGAGCCGCCCAGTGCCCCGCGCAGCGACCGGGCGCGCGCGTGTGTTACGTGTAGTCACACACTGCGAGGCCGGAAGGGACCTGGGAAGATCGGCGGGTCCGGCCCCCTACGCCAAGCAGGAAAGAGCTGGGGGGCAGGTGGCTGTCCAGTCTCCTCCTGACTGGGGGAGGGGTGCGGCGTGTGCGCGCGCCAGCCGCATGGATGTGGTGTGCGTGCGTGTGGTACAGGCAGGGGGCGCGTGTCGTATCGGTATGTGGCCTGCACGCGGCCGCGGTGGAGGCAGCGCGCTGTGTGCATGCGGCGGCACCTGAATGCGGTGGGAGGGGGTGGGGGGAATGCGCCTGTGAATTAGGCCACGTGTGCGCAGTACATGTATGTGATGAGTGCGCAATGTGTAACTGCGGGCATGTAATGGATGCAGCACGTGCGTAGCGTGCATGATGTACGCACAATACCTGCGCAGTGTGCGTGAGGTGTGCAGCATGTGCATGATATATGCGCAGGGTGTGATGTATGCAGCGCATGTGCAATATCTGCATGCTGTATGTGAGAGAGAGGTGTGCGATGTGTACATAGTGTGTATGCAATGTGTATGCAGTGCATGCATATGTGGTGTGTCTGGTGTGTGCACAATATGTATGCAGTGTGTGTGTACCTGTGATGTATGCAATATGTATGCAGTATGCATGCATGTGCATGGTGTATGTGTGTGCACACGCAAGTGTGGAATCCCATTTCTCTTGTCCTTTAAGATTAATCTCCCCCCAAAACGCGCGCGCGCACACTACTGAACACTTGACCAGCATTCAGCAACAAGCCTGACCTCTGCTGCAGTTGAAAGCTATTCAAGCCAAAAGAAAAAAAATGTTGCTTATTGGGAATGTGAAGTTGGTTGGGTTTTTTTGGTGTTTTTTGTTTGGGGGTGGGGATTTCCCGTCCCCCTGGAGGAAAAACAGGGGGAGTTCAAATGAGATGGAGCTGCCGTGAGTTCCTTCTTGTTTCCTTCAGCCTCATTAAAAGGAGCCTGGCCTACTAGTGCTGCACTCCAGAGGAGCAGGGGTGTAGACAGGGCTCTTTTTTGCAGAGGGTACCTCTCCTCCCACCCCTTGCTGGAGATGCATGAAGAAATATAAAAATAAAGCAAATAGTTCACATGAAAATAACAATGTGGCATTATGGACCAAAAACCTGTACCAACATTAAAAACCCTATTTCTTTTTTTTGTTGAACTAAAAGGACTGCTTTTAATTAAGTTTGTAAACAACAAGCATAGACCTATTTTTTGTGTTCAAGACAAAAGGTGTTAATTGGCTATTTCATTAAAAAGAGCACCCTTCCTATTAAAAATTTGTTTCTCCCAACAAGGAGGGAAATGCAGCCAGCTCTGAGGTGGGGAGGTTGCAGCCCACTGTAATCACTGTATTAGATAACAATTGTTGTATTTGGCACCTGGCCTCCTAAATTAGAAAGAGACTCTTTCTGGTGAAATATCCAAGCAACTCTGCCTTGAACACTAAGAATGGGTCCATGTTTACAAGCTTAGTTAAAGCCTGGTCCTTTTAGTTCAACAGAGAGATGAGCTTATTAAGGTTGGTACAAGGTTCCTGTCCATAGTGCTATATTGTTGTTTTCACATGAATTATTTGCTTTACTATTATATCCCTTAATTCATCTGCAGCTTGCTGGTAAAAAAAAAAAAGAAGAAGAAGAAGAAAAAACTGTGAGGCCAAGTCACAAGATTGCCCTGAGTGGTTCCAGAGGGAAGATAAGATAACCAGACAGACCAAGAACAACTGTGGGAGAGGCCTAGAGGGGCTGAAGGAAGAATCAGGAGCAGGGCAGAATATCAAAATAATGGGAAGATACATGAGTGTAATGCCAGAGACAGATTTAAAAAAAAAAATAAGAGATGATGGTCCATGTTACAATTAGCAGTTTAGATTTCTACTTGAAATACCTGTACACATAATTTACTTTCCATAATTAATGGTGGTAATTTCTTCAGTTGCATGCCTTTCAGCTGGGAAAAAACAAAGCTGGCCAGCCTTATTTTTGGTGGTTGTAGTTAAAATTCACTTTTTGTCCTCCTTGCAAGATTAAAAAAACCCAAAATTATTAAACATAGTTTATTTTTTCAAGTTACTTGGAGAAACAGCAGAAGTTTTGAAGCTGTGGAAAGCCATATTTAACAGAGAAAAGGCTAAACTCTTAGGACAGGTATAAGTATCATAAACAGTGGTGCATTTCATCTTGGCAGACCCCTGTTGACTTAGGCAAGCATTTATTTTTATCTTCAGAAGCAGCAGATATTTACAGTCTAGACCAGTGGTTCTCAACCTTTCAAAACTCAAGGCATCCCTCATTAGACTCTAGGCACCTCTTAGAAAATGCCAGCTCTTAACTTTCACTTGCTTTTTGACTACAGAAAAATAGTAGAGCAATTGGTGTCTTGCAGAGAACTCAGAAAGACCACAACAGGTCAGAAATCCATAGTGTTGAAAAGATTCTATTTGAACTATCTCCTTTCATCTTGTGAAAGATGTTTACACACCTAACAGTGCTAGTATTGCATAGCACCTCGGGGTACCCTTGAAAAGATTTCAAGGCACCCCAGGGTGTT